AAATACTCGTACAAATGACGTAATTTCCCACCTCACTTGTCACAAGCTGGGTGCTGACGGCTCGCCACCCCGCCAATACATCACCGTTCGTGGCTCTCCCGTAGCCAAGTGGGCGAACTGGTCGTCCGTCAAGCCGTCAACCCACGACGGCACAGCCCGTATTCAAACAACGCGCCCCACTCGGTTTACACTAATTGAATGTATACGGATTAAAAGGGCACAAGTCACTTTATAATGTGTCAGATAATTAAAAAAAGTCGAGTATCACCAGAAAGGATTTGGGGTTTTCACGGCGGTGAGTCTTCTGACTTGTGGCGCCGTGTGGTCTGGTACAAGTTTACAGACGTTGTAGAGGTACCTGCTGCCTGCATTATCAGGGCGATGGTCACTTAGAGTAACTCCATGGAGCAGGGTCCTTCTTTAAAACAGTTCACACCCTTGTCAATTCATCTTTCATAATTATTATAAGTAACGAATTCTATATTATTTATGCAATTGGAAAAGTGTAGTCAGGTAACTCAACTATATTCCTCGATACATTTTTATTCCCTAAGAAAGTGGTTTATATAACAAATGAGGAGATTTAACGTTGAATTTTCATCGGGCATGGAAGTAGTCTCTGGCATTTTTTTCACTTTATGAGAATACGTTCAAAAGTCCTAATTTTTGAAATTATTACACTCTGCCCTGTTCAGATCTGCCGCTGTTGGCAAAGCAGTAATATATACTCGCTAAAACCACACGTACGAGAAATCCGTCTATGTTTGTCTAACGCTTTGTTATTTTACAACGTGATTAATGGATTCAGTTTGATGTTTGATGTTTGGTTAAACTCTACGTGTGTGTGTGTGTGTGTGTGGCGAAATGCTGACGTCACGGTTGATTTTCCTACATGGAGTTTGTCGATTCTCCATTCCAGACCCCTCTATTGAAATAGTTGTCTGTTATAATGAACTGTTTCTATGCATGGCAAATTAACTCCTGTGTGCGGCGGTAGAGTTCGTACCTGTAGACTGTATTCATAATCCATCCCTTGTGTTCGATATCGCCCCACACTGTTGACAGCAGACTTTGGGTTTCGATCGAGTTGGGTGTTGAGAAACTGCTGGAAGTTTTTTTTTTTTTTTTTACCGGATCTTGCAATGTCAGACTGCAATGCTTTAGCATATGAACTGCACTCAGGAACAATGGTGAATATTTGTGTATGTATTTATGCGTATATGCATTATGCATGTGTGTATTCCTACGCATTTAAACTGCAGTCCCATAGACGGGTACATTAAGGGTGTCTGATAACAGGGTGCTTCGAATAATGCTTCGACCTGAAGGCGGCGAAGTGATAGGATGATTATTAGAACGATAAAATTACGGGGGATAAGATGGTTTGGGCATGAAGAACGCATGGGGGAGATCAATTATGGAGCTCCTCATTATTCACGCTTCACACACGTAAAAAGGACGTTTCTGTATAGCAGGTGGGAAGTTAAACGTTTTATTTAACTGCGACCCAATTACTCTCCAAGAGTTTCTCTTACATCCTTTATCGGATCTTAACTCGTCAGTCATCCAGACACCGTCACCCTTTTTATTACGACATTGACGTGGTCCGTACGATCCAGGTATTAACAGTGTCGTACTACGTCATGAGAAAAATCCTTCTGTAAATCTTGCTTCGAACTTCGTCCGCGAGTATCGAAGATCCCGAGCCGCCTTGATCTCTCTATCTCCCGCCAGCTGCTCGACTTGTGATCTGTATCCTGGTTCAGTAACACACGCTCAGTCGGTTTTGGAGTTCGAGAAAGTATTCGTAACTTTAGTCAAGGAACCTGGAGGAAACAGAAAGAGAGACGAAGGTGTAGACTGGATGTTAAAATGAACCATGGAAATACCAGACCTCTTCAGTTTTTCGGGATCTCGTACTAACCTCTCATGTTGGTGTAAAAGTAAATGAGGCTTTTGGAAGCCGGCTTCTTGAACGCCTGACGTCACGGTTGATTTTCCTACATGGAGTTTGTCGATTCTCCATTCCAGACCCCTCTATTGAAATAGTTGTCTGTTATAATGAACTGTTTCTATGCATGGCAAATTAACTCCTGTGTGCGGCGGTAGAGTTCGTACCTGTAGACTGTATTCATAATCCATCCCTTGTGTTCGATATCGCCCCACACTGTTGACAGCAGACTTTGGGTTTCGATCGAGTTGGGTGTTGAGAAACTGCTGGAAGTTTTTTTTTTTTTTTTTACCGGATCTTGCAATGTCAGACTGCAATGCTTTAGCATATGAACTGCACTCAGGAACAATGGTGAATATTTGTGTATGTATTTATGCGTATATGCATTATGCATGTGTGTATTCCTACGCATTTAAACTGCAGTCCCATAGACGGGTACATTAAGGGTGTCTGATAACAGGGTGCTTCGAATAATGCTTCGACCTGAAGGCGGCGAAGTGATAGGATGATTATTAGAACGATAAAATTACGGGGGATAAGATGGTTTGGGCATGAAGAACGCATGGGGGAGATCAATTATGGAGCTCCTCATTATTCACGCTTCACACACGTAAAAAGGACGTTTCTGTATAGCAGGTGGGAAGTTAAACGTTTTATTTAACTGCGACCCAATTACTCTCCAAGAGTTTCTCTTACATCCTTTATCGGATCTTAACTCGTCAGTCATCCAGACACCGTCACCCTTTTTATTACGACATTGACGTGGTCCGTACGATCCAGGTATTAACAGTGTCGTACTACGTCATGAGAAAAATCCTTCTGTAAATCTTGCTTCGAACTTCGTCCGCGAGTATCGAAGATCCCGAGCCGCCTTGATCTCTCTATCTCCCGCCAGCTGCTCGACTTGTGATCTGTATCCTGGTTCAGTAACACACGCTCAGTCGGTTTTGGAGTTCGAGAAAGTATTCGTAACTTTAGTCAAGGAACCTGGAGGAAACAGAAAGAGAGACGAAGGTGTAGACTGGATGTTAAAATGAACCATGGAAATACCAGACCTCTTCAGTTTTTCGGGATCTCGTACTAACCTCTCATGTTGGTGTAAAAGTAAATGAGGCTTTTGGAAGCCGGCTTCTTGAACGCATGCCAGAAATCGTTACAACTGCAGAGCTTCGCGTGTGTGTCTTGTGTAGTTGGAACGAAAATTACTGAACCAGCTTTATTGAAATCGCAGCTGTTCACGATGATACTGACAGTAAGTATATTGCAACGGGACGATTTCATTGTCGCTAAAAACAAGGAGGTGAGTTTAGACAGACGGCAATAAATTCCAATTGTTATTCAACACACAAACTTCATTGTCCATTGTGTCCACGAAGCGGAGTCCATACTGACAAGGTTATAGTCGCTTACCTAGTCGATAACTTCCCGCCTTTATGCAAACTGAAGGTCCATTGCCATGTTCACAATATCCCGCCATCAAACCTTAAGCCAGATGAATCCAGTTCACGCCATCATATCCATTCTCTTTCTTGTAGATATTTTTTTTAATATTATCCTCCCATATACGCCATGGTCTTAACAAGTGATCTCTTCTCTTCATATTTTTCCCGTGTTACGGTCCACAACAACTAAATACAAATTAAACAACAGAAAATGTGTGCCAATTATTATGCAGGAATGTCCACTTGTTTGCTTGCGAGACCGAAAACATTTGAAATGTGAATGTAATTGTTTACTTCTAGAAAACGATATTAATAATTCTAATAAAACCTCTACATTTCTTTGTTGGTGCTAATTTTTCGTACCCTGGCCAGATTCATTCGATTGTCAATGTTAACACTGGGATCTGTAAATCGGCTGAATTCAACATGTGTTTGTTCAAACGATGGTCAGCGAATCCATTCTCTGTGCGAACAAACATATTGACCGTCTGATCACATTGTTTCCGTAGCCGAGAGACAGAAAATTATTTTTCCCGCGGGGTGGGGGTTTGTTGCGAAGTGACCGCGGGCCGAAGAGTTCCGCTACAAAATTCTGTAATAAAATGTTAATTATTCACACTGACCAAATATAATTTATGAATAAAATTTACCGAAACATGTGGCTGTTGTGTTTTAATAATTAAGCCTTTACAGCATGAAGCTCGTCTATTTAAGAATTCAGCCCGTACCGGAAAGAAAACATAGCACTTCACCATTAGATAGAACTGGTTGACGCTGTTTAAAGAAATAATCGCTGTTTGCATTGAGAATCATACGAAACAAGTAATTGCAAAGGCAGAGTTATTGATTGTTAAAGCAGGTGGTACGTATAGTTACCACTGGGATTTAAATGGTTATATTGCTGTCTGCTTTTGTAGGCTGTGACTGTCCCTGCAGTCGCGCTGTAAATCAAACCGTAGGGTGCTAATTCCGCTCCTGGGACCCGCGCATTAGTGGTCTGTGCACATTAGACGTACCCCGGAAGCCCTCATTGGCCACAGAATTTCATATAAACAGGCATCAATTATTTCAAGGCGATATTTCTCGTACGGCGTACAAGGGCTAAAGGCAGGGACTTACCATTTTGGAGCTGTAAATTATTGAGCCGGGGTAGCTTAGTCATTACAAGGACTGGCTACGGGGTTCGATCCCCGACGAGGGAAGAATATTTCTCCTCTAGCCTTCGGGGTACTTTCCCCGGGGCTCAACGCTGGCCATCTAGTGCGGCGGTTAAGAATGAATAGGAGCTATACCATCTCCCCCCCCTCCAAGCGCCTGCATGGTGTGTTGCGAGACAGCTTCACTATTATCATTAACTAAATTCTCTCATACCTGTGTTTAAGGTCCGTTTTAATATTATCCTCACATCTGCAGATTAGAACGGCTGCTGTGAAATTCTGTGATTGCTGCTGACTTATCGTAAGGAATGAACTGCTTGTTGGATTTTCATTACGAGTGAAGACGAGTGATTGCAGTGTGTTTGAGAGCAAAACTGGCACAACTCCAGGACTCATTTCATTTGCGTTGTGGTGTGAGTTAAGTAAGTGCCTCAGATTCAGGGTTGGGTTTGAGGCGCTTGAACTTCAGAGCAGGGAGAGACGACGATTATTGAATTGGTTTAAACTGAGAGGTAGACGCAGTTTACAACAGTTGAAGTAATATGAATCCAAATCACTAAGGGGATAATGAAGAGATTTCCTGGAACACGCAGTTTAATTGCCGTTATCACAAGAGCCCGCCACTGGACCTTCTGAGTCTGTGCAATTCAGTCCACGATTTCACCCTCGCTGTTCCTTTGAGATTGCTTCATTCTCTGGGTTCTCGTGTTGCCCCGCCCGTCCCTATCTAGCGACCACAGATTTGAACCAATGGGCTTCCGGCTACGTGCTCTTGCCCCATGCTGTGGAATTAGTGGGCATGTAGCACGGACGGACGGGAGCTGTAATTGGGAGGCACAGACATAAATGAGATAATATTAAAATGGATCTTGGCTAGATATGATAACGAAATTTTTAATCTCGGACAAATTGATTCTGAAATCGAGGCCACTTGAATAAGTAAGATTGCATTTGTATCTTTAATTAATGCAGGCGGGAGATACCTATGAACGAAGCGTTGAAAAATCGAAGTTGAAACATAAAAAAATTAAAATGTTTTAACTTTTTAGGGCCATCTAAAGAGTTTGTTGTTTCAAGATTAACTTCTTGTTCACTGGACATTATCTGAAGTTTCTGAGAGTGGACGAACATAAGTCTTTCTGCGATATTTACAGTAGGTTGCCATGACAACGCATGACATGGGCGACAGGCTATCGGCGTGCGTCCTGTCTGATGATTGCCTCCGATTGAGATGTGCAGGTATCACAAATGACAGCAGCCATATTGCGTGACGTCACTGGAAACGTAGTCATGACAACCGCATCTGCCCCTGGGACTCTGTCCAATGAGTCTTTGGACGTGTTCGAAATAGGAGAAACGAGGGGGCAATGCGTTCGAATTTGTTAATCTGACAGTCGATACGTGATCGAAACTAAGTCATCCTTCCGTTCTGGTGTGAGAGGGATTGGTGTCAACCATTATTGACACCTTGACACCTGGCAGGATGTAAATTGGAAAATTATTTATGCGGTGGTGAAATGCTCCGATGAGTGGTGGACGTACGTAAAAGGCGAATACAAGCGGAGTGTTGAGATCTCGATGTGCGCCACTGTACAAAAAGGGAAATATACTGCGCTCCAGCGTTTTTGGCCGCTGAACTTTGTGAACTGGCACCTCGGAGCGAGTCACTTACCAGAAATTTGCTGCAAGGAATGACAGCAGGCCGCGTACAGTGCACTCCAAATAAAATATCACCACGTTATGCAACACAGGAAAGTCGATTTCACTAGAAAATTAACACCGCAGAGAGTATTGGATAATTTTAATGATTCGATCTCTGCAATGGCGACGAGTTGTGTTTTCTTTGCTGTAAGAAGTGAAATTTTGAATTTTATTTAGGAGAGCTTCTGATACAAATGGTTAATATATCATTCTAAGTTAAACTCTGTTTCGTAATGCTCCGACAGTCTGTAGGCCACACGTGATTACAAGACAGAAGGACTCTGTAATTATATCTCTCTCCTTCGTTGTCGCCCAAGTTGACGTTTTCGCAAAAGTTTCTGTACTAAAATTCTGTAAGCATTTCTAGTTTTCACTGTCCGGTAGTATTTCATTCCTGCAGAAAGTCTTATGATCTCATTTTGGTCTTGCCCTCAGTACAGTGTCTGTGGGCTGATGCTACAAAGGGAGCAGAGTTCAGTCCAGACAATAGAAATGCCTGCCGCCTTCACAAAGCGTTTGTTGAATAGTTTTTGCCTGTTTGCGCCCTCCTTTCACGCTCCATTTTCTCGCCCTTTCATCCCCGCACAAAAACGAATGTTTCAGCGGTAAAACAACGCTCAGAACCTGAGCTTACTTTTTCTAAAGCCGTAGGGGTGCATTTTGTTGTAATGGCTCCTAATGTGGTTGTACTCGAGGGTTGAATGCACGGGGGTGGAGGGAGGAAAATGTACTTTAAAGCGAATTGTTTAATTTCAAATCAGCCCACGTTCTATCCGATTTACAACCAAGAGAAAATGTCAGAGGACAAAAATTGGCTTACAAGACGTCGGAAGATTGCAAAATAATGAAAAGACACATTTCCTCGCTTTTAGTGACGGAAAACATGATTTTCAAATTGCATACCCACATACGAGATCAATTGTTATTTGATACAAGTACGTATTTTATTAAGCTTGAATGTTCGATGTTGCCTATGGTCATACTGCCTTAGTTGTAGACCAGTTATTTAGAAGCTGATAGTCGCTCATCTAGTTGGATATACCCACACATTTTCATCATCCTGTTCCTGTCCTGAGTCAGACCAATCTATTCAGCCATTTTAACTTTACTTCAAGATTCATTTTACAATTATCCTCCCACATACGCTTTGATCTACGTTACTGAAGACACAGCTGGCCATTTTTCAGTATATTATTGTTGCCATAGTCCACTGTTACACGGGGGATACGCCCCCTCACCCCACTGTTCCACATTACCCGATCTTCTCCCTTTCATTTCTGCTGCGGAAAAGCCTTAAAAATAGGGCATTTTGCCGGTTCGTCTTTTGTGGGTCATGTAGTGGCGTTCTACCAGTATTGATAACTTTAACCATCGGGGGGGGGGGGGGGGGGGGGGATGTTTTACAATTAGCGTTGACAGGAGCTAATGGTTGCCCCAACTTTCTGTTTTATGAGGATTAATTTCAATATGAGATTGTTTCTCGAAACGGGATTGTTGGCATTCACAAGCGGAAACTGTTCACAAAGCCTTGGCGTTCGTATAAGCAGCTGATTGTACTGAACTGGCTGCGTGAGGCTTCAATACGAGCCACAAATCAAATTGCGTCGCGACGCTGTGAAAGTCGCCGTTCGATTTTTGAACCCGCTTTTGAGCGCAGGCGACTGTGTAAAAGCTGGTTTGTTGGCGAAGCTTCAGAGGGCCGAGGAGGAGTTACTGTGGCTTCCACAGTGGGTAATAACTGAACTGGGTTCGTATCTCTTTACGTGCATCCTGTAACGCGGCGAGATTTTCAACGGTAGCTCTCTGGTGGCATGAACGAAATGCATGGTCAGGAAACCCTGAAGGAAAAGACTACTTGGAAGACCTAGACGTTGATGAAATTACGATATTAAAACTTATTTTAAGGTAATAAGATAATAATAATAATCTGGGCGAATAACATTAAGTGATTTTCAATGTTTGAGATATCCAAGAAACATAAATTTTGTTATTCATTTGCAGTACGCGTTATTTCGTGTCAAGATCTACTTTTAAGACGTTTTAGCATTCGCCTATGAATGTCAAGATCCACATATGACCCTGTTGCACAAACAAAACTCATAGTGAAACGAGACTTCGCATATAGAATATTACCAACTCAAAACAAGAGAATTTCCCCCGGCTTCTATTTTTGTTTCGCTTTGGGAGTTGAAACCATTATTGCATTTTATTATCGAAGATACATCAATACATTTCTTCTTTTAAATATCTGATACGATAAAGCAGAATCGTGCGTTAATATTAAGTGGAATAACGTAACGTAAAATTATACATTCGACAACTATTAACTATAAGTTTTTTTACATTGAGTCCCTACAAGTGTTCAGGAATAACCAAATGTTGCTACATCAGGTAAATTACCACAGTGAGATCAATTTACCACCAGCTATTTTATTTAAAGTGAGGTTTGTATCGAAAGTTTCTCGCCACTCGTCGATACTTTTATTAGAGTCCCGTTTTCTGATCACAAAAGTCGAATCGCAGATTGAAAATTACTATTCTGGGATGTTATGCAGTTTGGTCTGATAGAAACTCACAGACGTTTCAGAGGTGCTTACTGCTGACATCATCAGGGCAACGAGTGACTGTCATTCTGAACTATTATTCTTTAGTAAATTTAATCAGTTTTCGCAGCCTCTGAACGGAAAATTCGGGATGGCCTGACGTTGTCCCTTCCTGAATGAAACAGTCGCGTCGAAAGTGTCACGGTATGATCAACACTCAAAGCAAAATTAAAACCAACTTCGGGTGCCAGAGGAAAGTTCAAATCGTGTATTTGAACCACCGTTCGCAGGATAATTCCGCTGAGATAAACTAAAATCTCTTTTATCTTCTCTCTCAGACGCAAATATTAACGAGAAGTTTTAAGCCGGAGTTGCCATAGCAACATAATGCGATAGACAAGTGACAGAACAAAGCTCTGTCTCACCACTCTTCCGACACAATTATCGAACGTCATCGCGGGCGTGTGTCAATAATATTAAATTGGATATTACGATATTTAAATTAAACCACGCCGAGAACAAAACTTCTCTTCCGAACAACTTTCCGATATTAATGGGGCAGAGACACGATATTCAATCAGCGTATCGATTCTTCTCTTGCGTTCTGTGGGGTACTAACATGGCCGATGACAGTTAAGTCATCTTGACCGTCAGCAAGGAACTTGTTTTTTTTTCGCAGGCCGTCAATTTCGTCGAGTGTTCATGACACATTCCACAAAACAAACAGAGGCCTGAAAAAATTAATCAACATCGACACAAGAAAAGAAATTTATGAAATTAAAAAGTTGATTGGTTGAAAGAAACTCGCTGTCACTTAACACGACAGCTGTAAAAGCCGAGAAATAGTAATTTATGTTCATCTTACAGAACAACTGACAGACAAAGGGCGGAAACGGGAGAATAATATTAAACCGCACTCAAACTAAAACAGCGCGGACGTGGCGGATTCTTGTCAACACGGCAATAAACCTTGGGGTTCCATAAAAAGGCGTGCAATTTCTCGATTAGCTGTAAGGTCATCGGGTTCTCAAGACGGGATCTGCTGTGATGCTTGCAAATGTCTCCTCATTACAGACAGACTTAGCCACATTCTTTCCGAAGAGAAAAAATTACAAACTGCTTATGTGCCAGTAATGCATTGTAATAACCACATCACGCACTGCAGAGTTTGGACATTCTTCGTTCAGTTTACCAAGAAAATGAATCACATTTGAGCCTCGGTGACTCCTGAGCATGGATTACCATATCGTTGTGGTTTAGAGTGTAATTTGGCTTGAGTTCAAGCTGTCGTGGCCTACCTTGATCGTTGGGGTTGAACTCTGCTTCTAGATCCTGCACGGCCTCCTTGGTGTCACCACTCTTCATATTCTGACGCGTCGTGTGGCCCCTGAACAGAGCCTGGATTTTCGTGGCTGCCTTCTCGGTTTCTGGATTGCTCAGGTCAATATCTGGAACAAGGAGGCGCGTCCCGCCAGCTCTTAAAAATGTAATGTCCACCGGATCAGACATGGCCACCTAAACGTGGATACAGCGTCAGTTCGATTCGACACGTTTACTGATAGAACCTGGACATTCAGTGTCATCGATAAAGAAAGTCGGAATATGTGAATAAAACCTACCACGAAAATTTTTGGTTCACAACACCAACTCCGAAAATAACAACTTTCATAAATCATTAGAATATGTACGTCTAAACGTTTTACTTGGTACAGACACGTTGGTGCAACATACATTACCAAAATTCAATATGACGAGCTCAAAATGTTGTATTATTTAACGTCCTTATCCGTACAAGCGGGAAATTAATCGTCATTTTAATAAATGAAAATGTATTGTATTACAAAATTTTTTAACTTAGACAACAAATATATGTAAACACGAATCGCATATTAAACATACACGATTCTTTAAAGTTACATACTTTTCGTAAATCTATACAAGAACTGTTTTCAGTCATGGGTGACAAAGGAAAATATACGAATTCACCAACAAGCAACGCCTGTGACACGTTTATGCTATGGGGTTACGACCGTCTACATCGCAGTGTCAAATGTACACAACTGGGAAAATTATTACAAAACACTATGTGTTTCAGCTTTCGTGACGCCATCTTCAGGTTAAAAGACTCGGAACAATGTACTGAAAAAGCTTTACTTAGAAAATAGAGGACGCTCAAAATGGTTCTCAAATGAACAAGGAGGGGGGACCGTGGACTGGTTTCAAGGCTTATCACAGGGACCAGTCAGAAGTCAACCCGTATTTGATCAAAGTTCCGTAAAAAACAGTAAAATCTACAGCGACATGAGATTATCGACCTAAGTTCCTAACAGATACAACTTTATTAAAAAGTTAAATTAAAAACAGACGTCATTAAAGTCAGCTTTTTCAGCCCTGATAATAATCTCCAATGATAAAATTTAATAATAACTGTCAAATTGCAGTTACAGCAGCAACGGCAATTTAAAGTTAAAATATTGCGACAAAGCACGACTCCAACACGATATAAAAAAGTGGTCTAGGACAGCTCAGGCGACCTGAGTTCCAGCCCCTGCAACGACATCAATCAGCCGCTCGGCTCTGCAATCCGTCTAGCATCAGTCCTCAGGGAGTAATTCGGCCGAAGCTTTCAGCTCGCCGCTCCTCCCAGCGTGAAGTCGATTTCTATAATGAGCAGAGATTCTAGTCCAAAATAGACGCCATAGGTCTTTAAGGACTAATTTGGAGGTTTTCCACGGCGGTGAGTCGAAGATTGCAGTCCTCTGGGTCGTAGACAGTCATCTGTTTTATTAATAATGGAATGACGGGAAACATAACAAAGGAATCTAGGTCTAGTTGCTAGCGAGGAGCAGTCCACAGGAAAAGATCGTTCGTAAGAGGGTCAGATGGACGTCAGAGCCGGCAATGAAAAAAGAAAGCCTATACCCCTGTCGGGAAACAAACCTGGGTCGAAACTGGCGAAGCCGAAGCTCGCCTAAATAATATTTAATGATTCGGTCCGTACCGCGAAGAAAACACGACACTTCACCATTACAAAAGATCAACTGCTTAACGCTGTCTAAGGAAATAATCGCTGTTTACTCTGAGAATAATACGAAACTCACCAATAGTGCATGAGGAAAACAGAGTTAAATGATAATTACAGCAGATGGTAGAGAAACTTACCATTAGACTTTAAAGGGCCAAGACTAAGGTTCATAAACGACGTTTCGTTTAATAAACTGCCGTGTAAAACGCAGTGTTTGTTTACCTGTTCCAAGTTTTATACCACACAGAGTCGTGTTAAAATCACAGAAACACAAGAGTATTGAAACACTGCATAACTCAAAAACTTATCTTAACAAGATGAAATTAGCGAACACACTTCAAACCTCGAATTGAAATTCCACTAAAGATAATTGTTATATAAACAGAAGAGGCACGTTGGAAATATATTCATGAAATTTAATGAAGTTGTTTAGCTCTGTGACGAGTGTCCTGACGAGAATCTTCATAAGCGCCCCTTTGTATTCATTTGAACGTCTCGAATTCTAGAGTTTGCATTATTTTATTTCCTTTGTTGCCACAATCCTTTTTTGCATTCTTTTTATTTAAGTTTTTTCTTTTGAATAAAAATAAGTAACTAGCGTTAACATGAAATTCGGTGACAGGAGAACAAGCCCTGAGCTACGTTTAGTGATGATTCAGACAGCCAGACGTGAAGGAAACACCGAAATAATCCACTGTTCTTCTTTACCTTATCTCTTTGTAAAATTATAATCTGATGGAAAACTTTATCTTCGCTCGTACCTGGTTTTTGTTTTCGCTCGGTCCTTGTAATCTGTCTCCGACTTCCTTTGTGTCTCTTATTTCGTTCTCTCGATTCCGTGTGTCCACTCCAGTGAATACAATCGAAAAGAACAGCAGAATAGGGGCGATGTCCCCCCTCCACCTCCACCCCACCCCTGAACTTTCCCGTCTTGGCTGTGCTTTGAGTAAGCCTACCTTACAAGCAATACGTCCAATTCTGTACAATATTATTTAGAAGTATCAAAATATGCCCTTCGATGCTTCTCCCACAGGGGGTCACATTCGACACACGCAAAAGGCTCGCTTCATAGGACATTCATGTCATTTCACAACTTCAGCAGCTGATATATCGACATAAAACAGTAATGTGACACATACTACAATTTATAATATTTATCGATTGGATAAAAATCTTATTATTTCCAGCTCGTTTTACGACTGTGCTATCTTCACGACCTAACTTCTCAGATTTCTGACGAGCGAAGTCAGTAAGAAGCATAACACGGCGGTACTACCAGAATGAATCTTACAGGGTGTAAGAATGTGGACTAGGTTCATCTAGGTCAGAGTAGGGTCCACTGACAAGCTGCTGTAAAAACGGAAATGAAATCCCGGGCGAATTTTATATTACTTACTAATTTAAATATGTTGCAGATCATTATTATTATCACATTTATTGTCCTCCTAGCAATAATTTATTAAGCACATCGTGAAAATAAAGTTAGAATAGAAAAGAATAGTGACAAAGCAAGCATCACGACAGGGTTACAGCTGGCTAGATAACAGAAGTCACAAAAGTCAACACAATTAGTCTCTTGTATCGCACGAAGACTGAACGATGACATTGAGGACCAAAGCTCAGATGCCAGGGCACTAAAGAGCGAGGTCTGTACCCAGTCAGGACCTGAGTTCGAGCGGAACAAAGAAACCTGACGAGCCGATGGCATCTTGAACTCTTCAGCGTCCGTGTTTTCGCCCAGGAAAGAAAAAGGCGAACAGAAAAACACTTCAAGCCAATTCCCCTACAGAGGGCCAAGTGAAGGGAAATTAGTCGCTTATAACACAAGAGTTTAATTATGGCCAAGTGCACGTACCTCTCCGAACACAAACATTACCTACGCAAATCATACGAACTAGCGGCTTGCATGCAGAGAAAATGTCAGTGTTAGAAGTGGTTTAACATAAATCTTCACTGTAAACCGTGATCTTGCCTACAACAAAAGCGAGGTTAATTTTATAATGTAATTTCGAAGTTTCCTTAAGTCCGCTGAAAAAGTTTGTTTCCTTCAGAATAAATGGTCCTTTGCATTTACGACTGTGTATGCTTATTATACTTTAGATCTGCCGTCATTCATGGGAAATGTGACCTCCTCCTCCCCCCCCATTTCGCGGTATTTCTTACTGGAAAGGTCAAGCATTCAGGTACAAGAAGGCGTCTCGTGATTTTCACTGGTCGTAATGACCCAGCGCCTGGTACAGACTTTCTCACTTCGCCTCGCACAGGCAGAACATTAACGTCGCCGCCCTCACTCCGAGTTTTATTATTTTCGTTAGTTTTAACACAAGTCCTTAATGTACTGCAGACTCCACGCCCATGCCTCTGAACGTACGAATCAGAACGTTTCTCCGAGATCCCTAATAGCGTTCTTACGTGATGTACGCCGTACAGAACTGAATTTATGTTAAAACAATCGATCATAATTTTGCGAAAGCGTTCTTAGTACTTTTGTGTAAAAAGCACGTGGAATTTTTATATAAATAAGGATAACTCAGTGCAGTGACTGGCTATAGACAGGAATACCGGAGTTCGATTCCCGGCAGAACATGCGCTTTATTTCAAACTGAGCCCTGACCACCTTGTGGTACCAAGGCAAATTAAGAATAGCTGGAGTTTAACTTCCACATCCCCCCATATATCTTCATGGCATAGTGCTTAATTAAGTGTTGGTAATTTTTAAATTCCTGTAGACGCCTATTAAATAACACAGACGTAAAAATTGTCTGTACTAGTCCAAAATCTAAAACATCTTCGCTGAGATTTTAATTGTACTTTTCTTCATTAGATTTCCTTAATTTTCGTCTCTTTTATCCCATTCCTAAAATTATATTTCCGCGTCTACTTCAATGGTTTCATCCCCGAGGCCCCCCCCCCCCCAAATTCTTCTATTGGCTCCCTTGCTCTGTTTCCTCACCACAACCACTGGTCTGGCCAGATTCGCGTGCCTTGTCCGAACTGCTCCTTTCTTAACTCATTTTTTCGTCCTGATGACAGACGCAGTAAACGGATCCGAAAAATAGATCAATTTCAACGCGGTCACACGTTGCAACATCCCTGAACATAGCCATCTCAAAATATCTTTGGTTACCAAATTTTTAAACTTCTTAACCAAACGGTATTTGCGTGCCGAGGACTTTAATTCGTAGACTGTTGATGCATACGTAAATTGGGAACTTGTATTTCCGGTTGGTAAAGGTCGGTTTGAAAGCATCAGTGCCCCGAGAAATGAAACCGTCAGGTCGCAGCTGCACAAGACGAATCGTGAACCTCGTCAATAATGGCCGAAGATCGTGAGGCCCGGGCAGCCCCAGGCCGAGTCGTGTAATTTAGAAGAACGCGCGGCAGGTACGACGACTTCGCTCCTACGGACCGTAATTACATGTC